CCGCCCGTCTCACTCCCTCCTCCGTCCATAGCCGACGCCCAGCCGAACTCCGGCGGCCCGGCCGTCGACCCACCCGGAATGGCCAAGAAGAAGAAGCCCAAGGCGCCAAGGAAGCCGCGGTCGGAGTGCACGCCGGAGGAGATCGCCAAGTTGGACGCGGAATCGGCGAAGAGGAGGGACCGGAGGGTGGCCACCAATGCCGCCACTAAAGCGAAAGAGGTGGCCCTGGCGATCATGAGCGTGGACTTGTCGAAGATGAGCGAGAAGACGAGAGCCTGGTTCGAGGCCAGGCAGAAGGAGATGCTCGACACCGACGGCCTGAACTAGGTCGTCCGATCGGCCGCGGCCGTTCTTTTTTGGAGGCTGGCATGGTTGCCGCTGGCCGTGTGCCGGCGAAAAAAACATTCATTTTGAAGGCCGGCTGTGTTGCCGGCGAGGACAACCATTCATTTTGGAGGCCGGGATGTGTTACCGCCCGCTGGCTCAATGCCGGCGATGGACGTGTAGGCCGCTGGCTTTGTTGCCGGCGTGCGTGATGAACTGCGGCAGTAGGGCTTGGCATTTGATATGTTTCTCATTTTCTTTTAAATAGACGCGGATAGGATGGGGTAAAGGATGCGGCCCCGCGCTGGGCGCACGACCACCGCATCCCCGGACAGTCCCGGACACGACCCCATTCCCCTGCCCAAACGAACAAAATCCGAACAAAACGGACGTCCGTTTGGGATCGCGCGGTGGAGTTGGCCTCACATCACACCCCAAGGTAGGTCACCGGCCGGCCAGCAACGTCCACCACCAGGACAGGGTTGCCGCGGAGTGACGCTTGACGTTGATGACTGGTGAGTAGTAGTACACCGGCAAATTTCGTGGTAGTACAAGTGTAGTACCATGGTGATCTGGTCAGCGACAGCTACCACATGTACGACGGTTCATGGAGTTCTTGGGGATCTGTACGTGGTACTCTCTGCCGTCACCGTCCGGTATTCAACTCAGAGCGTTGTGTTGTGGTGGCCCGTGATGGGGAAAAGAAGGCCTTGGAGTGGAAGCATTCTCATGGCCATCATTTTTCGTGGTGAAGAAACACCTCTAAAAAATAGGCCAGATTTTCAGCAGGCTTTCCTTTGTCAACCTTGTGAAAAAACCAGGTTCCGACGGTGTGGTGTCGTCCTAAGGTCAAAAGATGTTTCATTTCCTTGCTCACAACAAAAAGGGTACAGATTTTACGCTGGATTTCTTTTGTGAACCCCGAGTTCTTGGCCACCTGATCTATCAGATTTTAGGCGCATGTCACCGTGCATTACTTTTCGAGATCTTGCTGCGCAAGCTACACCGATGCATCATGCATGATCATCTAACTTTCCATGCCTGAAGCAAGGCGGTGGACGACATGACCGGGCAACAAGAGGGGTAGCAGTCGAGCTGTCAAGCATAAGCCAGTCCATTAACGGTGTGACATGCATGCATATCAGCAGGAGGATGGTGCTAGCAGCTAGCTCTGTTCTCAAATCTCAACCACTTGTAGCTAAAATGATCAACATTTTGAGTAAAAAACAAGAAGCAAAACATCAAAGTAACAAGCAACATGTATACGCTACATACATGGTTGTACTACCTTCTCTTTCTCTCTCTCTGTGTTCAGGCTGTGGTAGTGCTGGTTAGTAGACCATGACTAGACGTACTACTAAATGGTTTATGCAGATTTGGTGTCCCTGTCAGCCATCATGGCAGGAGCCTCGCTTTCATTCCCATGTCTCTTTTGGAACAACCTTTGGATGGCTATCCTGGTAGGTCCTCATCTTTCTTGCAGCTTAATCTTACATGGCGGTGGATCAGGTTCTTCCTTGCTCTTTTGTCCTTCTGTTAGGCCATCTGGCCAGCCACCAGCCGCTGAATGCTACTGCCAGGACAGGGACTAGTCAAGGGCCAAGAGTCTCTTATAACTTTGAAAAGCAACACCTTATCATGGAATGGAATGGAGTGGAATGGCAGTCATCATGCACAACAATTCATACTGATTCGATTTTCCTCCTTAGATTTTTTGTTTGGAAAAATGATTCCTGGTTATCTTGGAGATATAACATTTTTAGATGACATAATTAATGTTGTGTTCCTTTTTCTAGGTAAATTTTGCGCTTTTTTAGAAGATATATGCAAATTAAGTTTGAGCTCCGTTCTGACTCTTTTTTTTAGAACAACAATGCCGCTTTATCATAATATCAACGCTTACAAGAATGTATAAATGAACCCTAAAACAAAAGAATGTATGGGGGGATCATCGAGTCAATCGAACAACACTTCTGAGTGCTGACGCCCCCAGGACTTTCCATACTCATCTCGGCAAAGAACTCCATCTGCATCTTTTTGTTTCTTGAGAAGATTCTAACTACACCCTTGTTCTACACCCGACAACATGAAGATGAACGACGATGGTGTTCTGACGGGCGCGGCTATATGTCGCTTATCTATAACCAGAAAGAGGTCTTGCCTCAACCAGCGTTGTCTGCCTGTCTTCCTGTCGCTATGGGCCGGCCCACGTTAGTTTGTTTAGTTCACTTTTTTATTTCAACCGTTCATTTTTTATTTTGTTATATTTTCAAAAATATTTCTAAAATGCATATATTCCAAAAACTTAAGCAACTTAAAAATTTACAAAATACCTGAATTTAGAAAATGTTAACACAGCACAGATTTTTTGTTAGCGTAGTTACAAAAAGCGTTGATAGCATTCAAAAAACTGTTCACGTGCTGCAAAAAACGTGTTCATGAAAACATGTTATACAATGTTAGAACATGTTCATGTAATTAAAAAATGTTTAATACGTATTCCAAAAAATGTTCAAAACATGTGTTTAAAAATATATTGATCATGTATATTAAAATGTTAACCATGTACAACAAAATAGGTGTATAAGAAAATGTACATGTGCATGAAAAAGTAGAAGAATGTATATTTTTCAAATTGTTATTCATGCATTTAAAAGATCTTTAACATTTATTAAAGTGTTTCATATTTATAAAAAAAATGCATAATATGTATAGAAAAGTAGAAGTCAAAACATATATTAAAAAATGCTAATCATGTATTTGAAAATTGTTAAATGCGTATAAAGAAATGTTTCTTATGTATACGGAAAATAGAAAAACAAAGTAACGAAGAAAGAAACAAAGAAAATCAAGAAAAAGGAAAGGAAAAAGGAAAACAAACAAAGAAAACCGATGCAAAACCACTCCTCAACGCGTCCCTTACTGAGCGAGCCCACTAGCACCGAGCGGGGCCAACGCAAGAGATGGGCATTCCCTAAACGGCGCCTTAAGCGCCGATTAGCGGACTGGCCCATTTATTTTTCAGTTCGTTTGTTTTTCACGTTTCCACCTGGATTTTCGACGTTTCGTTTTTCATTTTTCTTTCTTTTTAAGTTGCATGCATTTATTTTCAAATTCTATGAACTTATATTTCAGGTTTTTTTCAAATCAATTAATTTTTCTAAAACCGATGAACTTTGTTCCAAATTCGATGAACTTTTCAGTTTTTGTTAAATTTTGTGCAATTTTTTTTTCAAATTCGATCAACTTTTTATCCAACTCTTTGAACTTTTTTCAAAATTGATGAACGTTTTTCCAAATTCACGTACTTTTTTGAAGTTTGGGAATTTTTTTAGAGTCCAGTAAGATATTTGAATTCACATTTTTTTTCGTTTATCTTGCGACAGAGTGCTACTCGCTTTATTGGGCTTGCCCATGAAAAGGCTCCCGATAAGATGGGCTATTTCAAATGGCCGACCATATATTGGGTCACATTGTTCGGCTTGCTTCAACCAGTCTTTCTCAAATGGGCCCTATTCTCCAAAAAAAATGGGCCCTAGTCTTCGTCTATAAAATTACCGCTCCCCCGGCGGCGGCTAACCCTCTCAAAAACCCTAGCCTCCTCCTGCTCCCTCCTTCCTCCATCTCCGGCGGCGGCAGCGACAAATTTCCGACACCATGAGGCCACCGGCACGAGGAGGTAATCATCCGTCTCCCTACCCTCTACCTTACTCTTGGTCCTCACACCCCCAATCTCATCCGCTGACGCTGTTACGCTTCACGCAGGACGCGGCGGGAGGGGTTTCGGCGGCAGGAGCGACGGCGGCGGCCGCGGGGGCAGGGGCTTCGGCGGCAGGAGCGATGGCGGCGGCCGCGGGGGCAGGGGCGGCAGGGGAGGCAGGACGCCCAGGGGCCGTGGTGGTCGTGGCGGCGGTGGAAGGGGAGGGGCCGGCATGAAGGGCGGCAGCAAGGTGGTCGTGGTGCCGCACAAGCACGACGGCGTCTTCATCGCCAAGGCCAAGGAGGACGCGCTCTGCACCAAGAACATGGTCGCCGGGGAGTCCGTCTACGGCGAGAAGCGCGTCTCCGTCCAGGTTAGTGCTCGCTCGCTGCCCCGCTCTTGCACCATATCACGGTCTTCCATCTGCTACGAGGGGTGGGATATAGGTCAACCTAGGTTAAACCAGCTTAGCTTCAGTGCAATTGCTTGTTTGTATGATCTTTTTAGATGATTGTTTCCTTGTGATATCAGATTTCCTGCTCAGTTGTGCTCATTGTGCATATATCAATGAAAGTATGCTTCTTTCCTCTCTGGTATTGCAGAACGAGGACGGCACCAAGGTTGAGTACAGGGTGTGGAACCCCTTCAGGTCAAAGCTGGCCGCCGCTGTTCTTGGTGGCGTCGACAACATCTGGATTGTAAGCTCGTTGTGCTTTAGCATGTGTTCTTTGTGTCAAAACCTTCGTGTTCCAGGTTGTTTTGTAGATTAAACTTCTAGCATTTTTCATATGCTGACCCTGCGCTTGTTAATTCAGGCTCCTGGTGCTCGTGTGCTGTATCTTGGTGCTGCCTCTGGAACGACAGTGTCTCATGTGTCTGATATTGTTGGACCGGTGAGATCTCATGGCTACTTACTATAGGTCAATGGTTTCCATTAAAGGAAGTTGCTATCTTACATCAATCTTTTGACTTGCAGACTGGGTTGGTGTATGCTGTGGAGTTCTCGCACCGCAGTGGCAGGGATCTTGTCAACATGGCCAAGAAGAGGACCAATGTGATTCCCATCATCGAGGATGCTAGGCACCCTGCCAAGTACCGGATGTTGGTCGGCATGGTTGATGTTATCTTCTCTGATGTTGCACAGCCTGACCAGGTATACCTGTCAGCATATAAATGCCCACAAATAACTATTTGCTCATTAACATTGCCTTTCGGTAAACCTGTCCGTTGTGGTATGTCATTAACTGCTATGGTTTGATCACCTTCTGTGGCTACATTGGAGCTTAGCAAACGATGAGCTTACTCGGATTCCCCTTCAGGACATCACAATGGATGATGCAAAATCGAGTATCTGATGCATTTTAAGCCCAATGCTAGTCAATTTCTTAGTTATTTTGCTGCATTTTTTATTTTGAATTTGCTATGCTTCCGTTTTGTTGTCATCACATTGGATGTTTCATGAAACTGTTCCCATTGCAATAGTATCCAATAGCACTATCCATTTATTTATGTTTATAATTATTTGAACAGGACCGCTCAGTTTTTGTAATAATGATTTACATTGGATTATTGTTTGCTGTTATGGTTTATCTGTTTGCATTGCTTTCCTAGTTTTCTTTGGCTGTATTGGTGCAATTGCTGATGATGAGCTAACTCGGATTCCCCTTCAGGACATCACAATGGATGATGCAAAATCGAGTCTCTGATGCTCTTAACGCCCAAAATTCCTATTTTTTGTATCACCATTTTTTTTCTTGATTTTTGATTACACTTGGATTTTCTTACTTCACTTTGAATGGTATTTTTGTTTTGATTCCATTTCATTGGCTTGCAATAATTCGCCTCCTGTAACTTGTTCTTTCTTTGTGTTTTTACCTTCAGTTTGGAAGTTTGATTTATGCTTGCTTGTCGAACCTTGCCACTGTACAATTTCAGATTTGATAAAAGTATAATTGCTTCTCCATTTTCCGCTTTGGTTTGCAACTACCCCCTTGCTGATAGAACCGTGGCATGCGTACCTTCTGTACTATAATACTATGAACGATTTGTGCATATGGTGGTTCATTTTAGTTACTACTTATGGTGTTGTCTTTACTGATATGTATACCTTTTCAAGGTTGCAGGGTTAAACAGCAGTGTCAACTGAATTTATTATGTTTGGGACATTTAGTTTGCACGTCCCATCTCTTACAACATACTGATGGTTATTGACTAAGATTTAAGAAATGCAATTGTCTTTTGTGTTAGCTAAATACATTATATGTAGGCTGTCTATTTTTAAAATTAGTGTTCAGATATCAGCTGGAACAACAAATATTCCAATATTGCTTGCAAACATTCATCAGTGATTCTAAACTGTGCCAATGTTCTTAAACCTGTCAAACTATCTTCTGTCCTGCAGGCTAGGATCTTGGCCCTTAATGCTTCATACTTCTTGAAGAATGGTGGTCACTTTGTCATTTCAATCAAGGTATGTACTGATTCCAGATTCAAGAAACATTGCATTTGCCCTGGAAGATGATGTCCTGGAAATGCCAGAGATTTGCATTGATCTGATGGTTCTTCCAAATATGCCAGGCCAACTGTATCGACTCCACCCAGGCCCCTGAGGCCGTGTTTGCCGCCGAAGTTGAGAAGCTGAAGCTTGAGCAGTTCAAGCCTTCGGAGCAGGTGACCCTGGAGCCCTTCGAGCGTGACCATGCCTGCGTTGTCGGTGGCTACAGGATGCCTAAGAAGCCCAAGGCGACTTGAAGGAAATAGTTAATACTTTGTTATGAGGGTCTGTCGTTAATTAGTACTAGGAACTTAGGTGTTGGTGATAAGCTTAGACAAAGTTGGTTCTGTAGCTACTTGGTTTATATCTTGGTGAATGGCTGAATGATTTTGCATGCGTGTTGGCAATTGTTGACTTGTTGCAGTGTTATCCATGAAACCATTACTCGTCTCATTTTCACCTGTCAAATTTTAGGCCAGTACTCTGCGCCGGCGCACCGGCCCAAATTTGGGCCGGTCGGCCCGCAGCCGTCTGATACTACCTGCTAACCGATAAAAAAGCCTAAATCTTCTTCCTCGTTAACCACTCGCCCGCAGAGAAAAAAAAGAAAAGTCAACCGACACCGCGCGATGCCCCGGCCTCGAAACACCACCTGCACGTTCTCCGGCCGTCGCTTCCCTGCCGGTCGCCGTCATCGCTGTCGGTTGTCGTCGCCGGCTTCGTGCATGTTAGCAAAAAAAGAAAAGTCAATCGACACCGCGCGATGCCCCGGCCTCGAAACACCACCTGCACGTTCTCCGGCCGTCGCTTCCCTGCCGGTCGCCGTCATCGCTGTCGGTTGTCGTCGCCGGCTTCGTGCATGTTAGCAGCCTGCTTCTTGCGGTTGCAGCTCCCCATGGCGACGGCCGCAACTCCGATGCGGTAGCTGCAGTCCAATGACAACCGACCATCCTCGTCGCCGGTTACAAAATCAAAATGGCACAACCGCGTAGCTTACAACCAAAAAAGTGGTGGTAGCGAAAACTGTGCCGATTCCAGCAAAACAAACATACTATGGAAGCAAAAAAGAAAATGGGACCCCGGCTCCGGCAAAAAACTCGCATGGGAGATGGAACCAAAAAAATACGAGCCGCCGGTTCCAGCAAAAACATGATACGGTGGAAGCAAAATCACACACTGGTTGTAGCAAAAATCAAGACGGTGGTAGCAAAGAATGGGTTTCCAGCAAAATTCGAAGACGGTAGTAGCAAAAAATGGGGTTGGTTGTAGCAAAATACAAGCTGGTTGCAGCACTACCGTCGGGCCGTGGTCACCACCACTGTGGTATGGCCCCACTGGTTGTAGCAAATCCCGTCGCCGGTGGTAGCTTTCCCGGTGCCGGCAGCAGCAAAAATGCAGCACCAGCGTTGCCGCCACACTCCCTTATAACAAATCCGGCCACCGGTTGTAGCATGGCCGGTTACTGGTTGTAGCACGCCATGCAGCCGCGGAGCTGCGAGTACGCCATGGCCTTGGCCGGAGATGGACGAGAAGGGAAGTGGTGGATGACCATCGTCAGTCTGCGTCCGTCATCACTGACTTGGTTCCCCGCAGCAGTTCCTGGGGTGCGCGTGGGCCTGGGCAGCAGCAATTTCATGGGGCGGCATCTGGCTGTGTGTATAGTTGGCGGCGGCCATGACCAGCGTGAGCCAGCCGGAGATGCGAGAGGGTGAGATAGAGATGTGGGGGATTGGTGGCTGGGGTGCTCCAAGTGAGGATAAGGAAGAAGAACGAGCGGTTGGTGGGCCTTACTGGTTACGTGGCTTGTATTAGAGACAAGCGCGTAGCGCGCGAGCCAGCGCGACCGGCCAAAAGCTTCGGCCGGTCTGCCGTCGCTAAACCTTTACCCAAATTTTATGCCCTGATCAGAGCTGAATCATGCTTTATCTCTGAGACACCACTAGGTGCCTATTTGGCAGGGAACCGACGCGACAGATGCAACTGCCTGCTGTTAGCAGGGATTATCCCTTAATTAACAATCATTAATTAATCCTAACACTCCCCATCTTGATAAAGATTCTCCTTGAAAACCCCGTGGGAAAAATGTAAGGAGATACGTGCTAAAAAAATTAAGGAGAAAATGGTACAACATATATTGGTCATTATCTTTTTTAACTCAATACGAGAAAACTCATAGAGTTTAGAGGACAATAAATATGTCATATATACTTCCCCAAAAACCCCGGTGGGGAAAACAGAAAGTATGACATGATCTCATGTTGATATTACCTCATTAAAAACTTCTATGAGAACCTATATACTAGTAAACTCATGATGCATTGAACAGGAACAACTTAGGAAGATACTCCCCCTGATTCTTGCAATTTCCAAAGCCGTCACATACCAATTCCATGAACATGTTTCTGGAATGTAAAAGTTGGTAGAGACTTGGTGAACAATTCAGTTGCATGATTTGACTTGCAAGATATGCAATATAAAGATATTGCTTATTAGTAACCTGTTTGCATCCGGGCAGCACAAGCAACATTATCATTGAGATAATGGTTGGTGGATGTAGCCATGAGGTATGTTTTGAAGACTCTTCATGAGAGGGCTACCACACCTTGTATGAACACTAAGCTTGTCTACGATCTGACATAGTGGGGATCCAATCGAAGTACCAAATGATATCGGTGTTCACATTTATGTGAAACTGAAAAACCAGGACAAGATGTTTGATGACTTTAGAGATATCGAAAGATATTCTCGAGTACCAACCAATTGTGTTTGGTGGATCCAATGGCATTATGGAACGTTGAGTCCCAATATCTCATTTCCATCATCTCTTGGTCTATATAGACCTTTCTCTATGTCTAGAGAATGAACTACCATGAGAGTTATGGATGGTAAGATTTGTCCATAATGAATTTCTCCAATATATTATGGATATAGACAACATAGTATACCATAATGTATGAATGAAGGTGCTCAAGTTGTAGTAACGAACGGTATTTTGGCTTACCCAAATCCTTCATTTTAAACTCTGTCATTTAGATGATTACATGTATCGTCATTGCAGACACACAAACATGGATAATCATCATTGTAGGAGTAATCCTTGTGAATAAGGAACTCACTACATCGGTTGTACCAAATGTACCGACAATAATAATAAGTCATATGGTGACTTGTTGAGTTTACACAATGTGTGTTGCATTTTGTACTTCGATTCAGAATTGAGGTTCCGTCGGGAACTATCTATATCTGAATCTATTGATCTACATGGATATGTAATCACTACATCTATCAACTACAGAGATAGATGATTTTGAACTGCCAATGATATAAGTTATCGGAATGAGATTCCACCTTTGGAGAATAGTTGGGTATCTGTGTGAACCCTTGTGCTACAATACATGCTCTTTGTTTCACCACCTCGTTATTCTCTATTCTGTTTCCAGAAGAAAACTGGTGTAGGTATTGCTTATGAATACTTTCCCATTATTGAGCAAGATCATTTCTATCTAGATTATACCCTTTGCTTGAATTCAGTCTGAGTGTTGTTCACACTTTGCCAGGGCCATGGTCTCTGGATCTGAATCACTTGAAAGGTTTTTTCAATCTAGTTGAGAAATGTATGTCGACAATTGTAGACTTCCGGCTATATGTTTCTCCAGAATCTATGTATCAATATATAGTTGACGAAAATATCGTTACCCATGATGACTGCTCGCGATTTCCCAATGCGATTGAGTCGGGTATTCCGATGTCCCGGTGGCACTATGACCTAAGTTGGTGGAGGTTTCCCGTCTGTTGGAAATATGCCCTAGAGGCAATAATAAATTAGTTATTATTATATTTCCTTGTTCATGATAATCGTTTATTATCCATGCTATAATTGTATTGATAGGAAACTCAGATACATGTGTGGATACATAGACAACACCATGTCCCTAGTAAGCCTCTAGTTGACTAGCTCGTTGATCAATAGATGGTTACGGTTTCCTGACCATGGACATTGGATGTCATTGATAACGGGATCACATCATTAGGAGAATGATGTGATGGACAAGACCCAATCCTAAGCCTAGCACAAAGAACGTGTAGTTCGTATGCTAAAGCTTTTCTAATGTCAAGTATCTTTTCCTTCGACCATGAGATTGTGCAACTCCCGGATACCGTAGGAATGCTTTGGGTGTACCAAACGTCACAACGTAACTGGGTGGCTATAAAGGTGCATTACAGGTATCTCCGAAAGTGTCTGTTGGGTTGGCACGAATCGAGACTGGGATTTGTCACTCCGTGTAAACGGAGAGGTATCTCTGGGCCCACTCGGTAGGACATCATCATAATGTGCACAATGTGACCAAGGGGTTGATCACGGGATGATGTGTTACGGAACGAGTAAAGAGACTTGCCGATAACAAGATTGAACAAGGTATCGGTATACCGACGATCGAATCTCGGGCAAGTACAATACCGTTAGACAAAGGGAATTGTATACGGGATCGATTGAGTCCTTGACATCGTGGTTCATCCGATGAGATCATCGTGGAACATGTGGGAGCCAACATGGGTATCCAGATCCCGCTGTTGGTTATTGACCGGAGAATGTCTCGATCATGTCTGCATGTCTCCCGAACCCGTAGGGTCTACACACTTAAGGTTCGATGACGCTAGGGTTATAAAGGAAGTTTGTATGTGGTTACCGAATGTTGTTCGGAGTCCCGGATGAGATCCCGGATGTCACGAGGAGCTCCGGAATGGTCCGGAGGTAAAGATTTATATATGGAAAGTTGTTGTTCGGGTTCCAGAAAAAGTTCGGGATTTTTCGGTATTGTACCGGGAAGCTTCCAGAAGGTTCCGGAGGATTCCGGAGGGGTCCGGAAGTCCGGAAATTGTTCCACCATGTCCAATACAGTAGCATGGGCTGTAGGGGGGCGCCCTAGCCTTAATGGGCCAGGGGCACCAGCCCCCCCAAGGCCCATGCGCATGGGAAGGGTGAAACCCTAAGGGGGAGGGCCTCCACTTGACTTGGGAGGCACTCCTCCCCCCCTTGGCCGCCCCCTTAGATGGGATCTAGGGCTGGCCACACCCCTTGGGGTGGGAAACCCTAAAGGAGGCGCAGCCCCCTTCCCCCCCTATATATACTTGAGGTTTTGGGGCTGCCCAACAGATGAGAACTTCTCCTCTTGGTGCAGCCCTACCTCTCCTCCTCCTCCTCTCCCGTGGTGCTTGGCGAAGCCCTGCTGGATTGCCACGCTCCTCCACCACCACCACGCCGTTGTGCTGTTGCTGGATGGAGTCTTCCTCAACCTCTCCCTCTCTCCTTGCTGGATCAAGGCGTGGGAGACGTCATCGGGCTGTACGTGTGTTGAACGCGGAGGTGCCGTCCGTTCGGCACTACGATCTCCGGTGATTTGGATCACGACGAGTACGACTCCTTCAACCCCGTTC